AAGTGGGAAATAACTGTCTTGTTAATGGTTTGTAGATTCTGAACAAAAACTGCTACCTTTGCCTGTTAGGTTTTTACAGGAAAGACTGGGGAGTTACAGGGACTGGTGCATGATATAATTAATCTCCGAGCAATTGGGTCTTCTATTATTGGCTCAAGACTTTGTATGGCCTCCAGCTTTAGCAGATGTTAAGGGAATTTGGGAAGAGGCTTAGTGGGGTCTATTTAAATTTTAATAGGGTTTGCACTTCTTATTCTTTCCATACTAGTATTAGACATGGCTAATACGTCATTGAGTATCTCGGTTAAGTCAAGAACATTTTGTGGACTGTCCTCTTCCTCTGTATCTAGGACAGATGGTCACGTATACAGGAGATCTGGCTCAGGTGACTCAGAAAATTTCGGAGTCAAGTCCCTATTAGAGGCAAATCATATCAGGCCTTTTATTTGAAACAGAAGGTCTCTGCCCAATAATTTGACCAAGATTGTGTTACAGAGCAAAAAAAGAATGTTTTTCAGAAAAGGGCCTCAAGTCACTTGCACAGGTTGAGAAGCAAATTCTTCTTGAATTTGATTTCATGCCTCCACAGCTAAAATTTCCTTTTCATTCCAAGAGAAAGGCTGTCTTGTAAAAGTGGGGTGTAAAGTAGAAAGAGTGCCTTGAGTATCTACTAAAATTGGATGAGAACTCCAGTGTATTTTTATCTTTGTCTCCTCCTAACTATTCAAATGCATCACTGGTAGTGGCTTACCGTAGTTTTCCACAGAGGCCCATTAGTCCTGGTGGGTAACACGCAGATGGCTACCAGCGGGTGGGCAGCATGTTTTTAGAGGCCACCTTTGAAATCTTTGAGGGCAGTTTCTATTACCTTGCATTTCTTGTTTTCAAAGAAAAAACATTTCAAACAAAAAAAAGTTTGTGCAAATGGCAACATTTTCTTGGAAACTGCTTTTCTAAGGGTCGCTTCTTAGGAAAGCACCATGGTAGGTCCAAAGGTCATTTAAATTGTTGAAGCTACGGAGTTGCTTAAATCGCAAAATGAATGATTTGGAAGCTCTTCATTTCTCATCTTATTCTAAGGTCCTTTCAAAATATTCAGCTATAATTACTAATTCATCTAAACCTGTAGCTTCCTACCCTTTTGTGTTTTTATGAACCAGATAATTTCAGGGGAGAGTCCATTTATAAAGGTGTTAGCTAGGGTTGGCTGGGTTGCATTATCCACTGTGTAGAAGGCAGAATGCTAAAGAAGAGAGCTTCCCTAGGTTTAGGAAATTCTTTAACTATAGCCCTAAGCTCGTTTTTTGTCCAAAGATCATAAGTCACTCAAGGACTATCTTCTGAATTCTCAGGTGGTCTTTTTCTTATACAGAAACTGTAAAACCATTTTTGATTTTTTTTTTCAGGGAAGAAAGGTAATTCAGACAGAGGGTTAATAGGCTGTAAATACTCAGGAAAAGGAGAATAGAGCAGGACAGTGGAATTCCCATCAATCATATCATCCTTGGTGTGGGAGATAGCTTGTATTTTCAATTTTTCATTAGCTTTTTGCAATAAATCTAAAAAAGCTATTTTAGAATCTTGTAATCTCTTGGAAGCTTCTATCTACCAATTAAAATATGCATCCCATTCCGTCTTCCTAATTCAGGAAACGTGGGTTTCAAGTACCCTTTCAGATGAACAATCTTCTCCACTTGGAGTGTTCCACATATGGCTGTTGTAATTCTAAATTATCTTTGATAAAAAATTGCCACTTTTGTAAGTATTCACAGCTTCTGGAGCCATAATTTTTATACTTGAAAAAGGCAGGCATACTGGAAAGTGGAGGACTCAGTCCTTTAGATCATAGGGTCCAATTTTTACATCGAATCTTGGGTCTCTCAGAGCTGAGATAAAAGCTTAAGGAGGAGAAAAGAAAAAAGAAGAAAAAGAAAAAAAAAAAGAAAAAAAAAAGCTTAAGGAGGAAATGCCATAGGGCTCAGTCGTGTGCTGTTTTCATTGTGTTCTTCATTGCATAGGAATTTTCTTGAGGTTGGCAGGTGACCTAGTATCATCTAACTCATCCATGACCAACTTATCCTAACACAGAAGTTTTTTAGTAAGTGACAGGGTCCACTGGCAGCTTTTTGGTGCCCAACTCAATGCCCACCAGTCAAGTTGTGGCTTGGCTCTGAGATTCCCTTGACCAACTTAGCCAATGATTTTTCCTTACCTTAGCCCATAAGAATAACAGCAATGAAGAGAAGGAAATCCAGATTTCTGAAAACTTGTGAAAGATGGTCACCTTCTGGAAGTGATTTCCATTTTCTGCAATTTTTCTCATTTACCTTTAAAACCAAAGCCCATTGATCATTGTGAACTCTCAAAATTATACACCCTGCCACAGCACAATTAAATTCTTGGGACCAAAAAGCCAAGGAATAAAAGGTGCTCAAATATAAAAGACAGCAGAACTTGGACCTGAGAGAGACAGAAAGAGAGAGAAAGTTGCTCATGACTTCCAGGCTCTCTGAGGAAGACAGTAGACTTTAAAGGTGTCAGCAGTCTTTGGGTCACTTTGTGGGTTTATCAGAATTGTTAAAAATAAAATGTCATAAATTTAATTTAAAGATGTAATTGCTTTTATTAGTGACTCATGAACCAAAAAGCATTCCATCTAGAAATAGAGGGAAGCTCCACTCAACATAACAGAACAGTTGGTTTTTGTAAAGTAGATTGAGCAGGAACAAGAAAAGAGAGTAATACAAGAGCTAAGCAACCAACCAAACAACAACAACAACAACAAAATACATACACAAAACAAACAAAAAAACAGAAAGTAGAGAGGACTTCCTTATCATGCTGGCTCAGGTTGATTAGTCCCTTTCTGACTGTTTGCTGTGAATCTCCCACTTTTTTTTTAGAAAAGCACTGGCCTTTTGGGGCATTATCTTCCTTCCTTAAAGTTTCAATTTGATTATGTGGTACTTAGCATGGACTATATTTTGGTTTGATCTGTGGGGGTCTAGCGCAGGAGCTCAATCTAAAACAACAACCTCCTGTAAATTTTATTTAATAACCCCAAAGTCCAATTTTTTAAAAAGCAGAACAGCACAAAAGAATGGGGAAAAATAGCAAACTCTTCCTACCACAATTGGTACCCAGCGGATGATTTGGGAAGGGGAGAAGGTTAGGGTAGATTCTGTTTCCAGATGGGAAACAGGATCCTATAAGCTTGTCTTCCCAGGACCTTTTCCAGGCTTTCCCAGGTTACCACCTCTCTTCCCTCCACCTTCCACCTCGGAACTTTTCAATTCATTTTCTTTTATAAAAGACTTTGATAACTTTTCAATTTGGGATTCTAATCTGAAAAAAATGGCTCCCTGTGGTAGAGAATGTAAGAATGTAATCATTATTATCTATGCATAACAACAATCACATAAAATTATAATAATAAACATCCTTGAAACTACCACCCAACATGAAAATTATAATCATACAATTTTAACATACTGAGTACAAAATAACTTCAAATAACTGGGTATTCCTCTTCATAACCTGTATTGGATTGTTTAATAGCATACAATAAAACAAAGTAACAATAACTTGGAAAAAAATAGTTAACATTCTCAAGTGAAAGAGTCTGGAAGAAGGACATCCAGAATTGAGGCTCCATGATGATCAAGGATCTAAGATTCTTCCTTCATTTGCTTTGCAATCTTTAACTTGAGACTTTCATTTGCAAGATTCCTTTTTGTCCAAGATGGCTCTAAGAGTTCCAGCCTTCACATCTGCATTCCAGACAGCAGAAGCTTTCCTGGAAAACTCACCCAACTACTTCAGCTTATATCTCATCTCAACCCAACACTGAGAAGTGAGAGAGAAATGTAGTTTTTCATTTGGGCACATTGCTCTAGAACTATTACCAAGTATGAAAAGGAATATTTGTTACTGGGTTGGCACCTGGCAATCTTGTGCCACGTGCTTCGTGCACAAATGCTGCTCAACAATGAAAAATATTTTTATCAACCCACATCTTTATCCTTCCCTCACTCACCTCCATTCCTCATGAAAAAAGGAACTTTTAGCCCAAAGTCCATCAAAGTTATGATTATGAGAAGTGGCAAGGAAAAGATGTCTTTCTTATAAATGTTCTTTTCTGAAAAATCTGACAGAGATTCATGTTCTGACTCTGGGAGATAGCACAGAGACCAGAGCAAGGGACATCCAAAGCTAATTTTCTGGGGATGGATGGATGTCCTAAGAAGAAATGTAAAGGCACAACATGTATTCTTCTTCTGGGCTTCTCATGGTTTTCCTAATCCTCTACTATAAGATCAGATTCTTGGTATTGGGATGGTGGGGTGGCATTTTGTTTTATAGTATAACTCTCAATGTCCATTATTACCTAATTTGCAAGCTGTTGGAGGTATTTGGCTGGGTGGGTGGGGGGTGAGGAAGAATCCCATCAGTGGAATCACAGAGACATAGTTTTAGTTTTAACTGCTTAAGTATTTAGAAATTATCTCCACGAGAACTCATCCATTTAGTTTTCATCATTTGGAATTTGTAGGATACCACCACATCCAAACCAAAAAGAGTACTTCACTTAGGACAGAGATATTTCCTTAACAAGTTCAAACCTGAAACTGGGATGACATTTCAGATCACACTGCCCTTTTCTACCCCTCAAAAATTTCCATATTAAGAGTATCAACAGAGTATTTAGGATTTAGAGAGAAAGATGCCTCAAAAACAAACCCACTTGAAAAGCCAAGGATTTTACCCACATAGGGGACCACAGGAAATGACCTACCCTGAGATGTGTCTGGCATTTTTGAAAGAGGGCAACTCTAAGCTGGACATTCGGCAATGAGAGGATACAGAAAGGAAAACCTTGTTTTATCTGTTTGGGTGTTTTATGTAATCTTAAAAGTTATTAGCTGGCAGATACTACCTAGCCCAGGGCCTGATGACTAAACTGTTTCTCTCCTTTCTAATCGAAGGCCTCTGCCACAAACATGCTCTGCCAGATCATCAGTCAGGCCAACACACATCCGAGCTTGATACCCGTTTTCATAGTTATTGGAGCTGGAGGTAAGAGAGCAGCACTGTATCTCTTGTGTTTGGTGTTATTCAATCTAGATGTTAGTTGGGACAGCAAGAACAACACAGAGCCCTGGAACAAACTGGGTCCCAATGATCAATACAAGTTCTACTCAGTGAATGTGGATTACAGCATACTGGAGAAAGAAGGTCCAGATTTCTAAATAAAATGTTTCACTATAAAGCTGCTTTAGAATGAAGGTCTTCCAGAAGCCATCTGCACCATTTTCTACTTAATCAGGAAATATTTCTCCTCTAAATGCATGAAATCATGTTGATGCAATCTACTGGAGATTACACTGATTAATAAAGAACTGAAACTCGGGGGAAAAAATCTATTATCCAACTTGATGCTCAAACTGGAGTCTGGAAATCTGAAAGATCGCCTTCCTCTTTTCATGTGGCTCTTATTCCTGCTGGTCAATGGATTTCAGTTCCCGTGGTACCACATTGTTTAGCCATCAGATTCAGCTCAGCTCATATTCTGAATCATTACTAATTCTAAGGGTACGTTTTTCTGTTGTGGCTACAGCATCATTATGGTAACAGTTATAGCACAGATTGGGGAATGCAAAGAAGAATCAAACCGCGTTCTGTGGGCCCAGGAGAATGTCAGATGTGTATGTGCAAAAGGGAAGAATGGTAGTGTCGCTTCACGCTGGATATCCTGGAGAGAGAAAAGGTTGACTTTCTCTTTTTTTTTTGAGACGGAGTTTCACTCCTGTTACCCAGGCTGGAGTGCAATGGTGCGATCTCGGCTCACCGCAACCTCCGCCTCGTGGGTTCAAGCAATTCTCCTGCCTCAGCCTCCCAAGTAGCTGGGATTATAGGCACGCGCCACCATGCCCAGCTAATTTTTTTGTATTTTTAGTAGAGACGGGGTTTCACCATGTTGACCAGGTTGGTCTCGATCTCTTGACCTTGTGATCCACCCGCCTCGGCCTCCCAAAGTGCTGGGATTACAGGCTTGAGCCACCGCGCCCGGCCGACTTTCTTTTTAAGCTCCAACTTCTATTTCACATAAAGCAAATCATCCACTTTTTGTACAATGCGTTGTGAAGTGGTGAAATGTATCTACTTGCAGAAAAATAATTCCATAGGTGTATAACTGTGTATATTCTTTGTAATGTATAGTCTATACACTGGGATAAAATTTAGAAATCATAAATCACTTTTTCTTGTGACAGTCCCCCAGCACAGATGTCAGACAACAACTTTTTCTTAAAATTTAAGTACTTTAAAAATAGGTTCAGAAAAAGGCATATTGCTTTCTTCCTTACTCCTAACAAGAAGGGGATCTTGATCTTCAGCAGTTTGCCAAACCAGAAATGCAAACTAATAGGTTATCTTCTTGTCTCCTCCTTTTCCTGAGCTTCTTTTAATTTCCCACTCATTATCTTCTTTTCCCTGCTTTTCTGCCTTCATTTCCATCTATCTTCTTTACAAAAGGACTCACAATGACTTTCAAAAACATATTGTATCATGTGCACTGTGGTGGGCTGACTAATGCTCCCCAAAGATATCTATTGCCTGTGAATATGTCACCATACATCGTTTTAAAAAGCCCTTGCAAATGTCATTAAATTAAGTATCTTGACATGCAGAGATTATCTGGATTATATGGATAGGCCCATTATAGTCACAAGTGTCCTTATAAGAAGGAGGCAGGAGAGTCAGAGTTAGTAGTCACAGATGTGGTGATGCAATTAAGGGGTTACAGTAATGCAAGGAAGTGGCTCAATGAACCAATAATATGTGAGAGCCCTAAAAACTAATAAAGACAAGAAAATGGATTCTCTCCTCAGAGCCTCAGGAAGGGACCAGCTATGCTGATACCATGACTTTGGATTACTGGGACTGATTTTGAACTTCTGACATTCAAAGCTCTAAGATAATAAATGTCCATGTTTTTAAGACACTAAAGTTTTGATAATTTTTATAGCTGAAGTAGGAAACTAATAAAAAGACCAAGAAACAGTTCCAGATTAAAGGAGATTAAAGAGACAAATAAATGCAAAACATAATTCTGGATTTGATATTGAACTAAAGTTTTTTTCTTCTGCTAAAAAGCATATTAGTGAGACAAATGATGAAATTTAAACAAGGGCTATATATTAGGTAATATATTTTATTAATATTAATTTCTCTATTTTAAAAATTAAATTAGGGTTGTATACAATGTCTAGAATGTCTCTGTGCTTAGAAAATAGACAAGGAGGTAATTAGAAATAAAGGAACATTATGTCCACAACTTATTCTCAAGTAATCACCCCCTCATGCACACACAAATATTGTGAAAGTTATCAGAATCAAAATGGAGTCACTAACGTCAAGAAAATTCCAACAAAGAAAGCCATGAAAGGCCATGAGATCTCACATTTCTATGGCTGATAACACAAAAGGCTCTACAAAAATCACAGCTTTGAAAAAGGCCATTGCAACCTTAAACAAAAAATATTTCTGTACAGACATCTGCCCAGGAACTGCCTGTCCAACCTCAAAATAGTATTGCCCTTGTGACAATAGTCAAGTATCTTAGCAGTCAAGTATCTTAATATTCAAGAATAATAACTTCAAAACAATTATGGAAGCCTTTTTTTTTTAAAAAAAAAAAAAAACCTTTGCCTTCCTTTACTTCCTTGAGCACAAATATAGTTTACTATCCCATGAGTATTTTCACTGCAGTGTTCTATTCCTAAATACACGTTTTTTTTTTTTCTTTTTGAGAGACTGTTACTTAGGTTGATATACATGATATCAGAAGTGGTATCTCAAAAGGTCACTATTGGAGGAAATTGGTGGCATTTGGAACCAGTGTGCAGTACTCACTTGAGCCCTTTGATCCCTCCACTTCCACAGCTCACCTTTTTGGCCCTTATGAGCTGAGCCTCTTTCCACTGGGCAGAGGCTTTTTTACTTTATTTGGGATCTGGTTTAGATAAGGCCACTTTAACAAGACATCTTACATTCCTTCTGGCTATAAAATACTTCGTGTTCAGTCTTTTCTGGTAAGTCCTTTCTGGTATAAAGACAAGAATATTCTTGCTTTCTACAGAATTTACATTCAGTCTGTGAGGCATGTCTTCTCTGGGTTGCACGCCTAGTTTAGTATTTCATTCAATCTGCATACCTGGGTTAACATTTTATGAGTACTCTTACCTCAGTTTCCTTTGATTACATTTGACTCATTTCCTTTACTATTTCTGAAAATCTTCTGGGAAGAAGAAAATAAACATCCTAAACAGTAGATGCAGGATGGCTAATTAAAAGCCACTAGAGCAGTCACCACCATCTAAAACACCAATTTAACCCTCTGAGATTCCCTGGATTTATAAGATTTAGGGTTTTGTGCCCTTAAGGGATTAATAAGAAACAGAATGGAATTCTCAAATATCAAAGCATGCCAGGTTTCCTGGGACTCCAGCTGGCTACATATTATAGCCTATTCTTGTGCACATTTTTAAACTAATGGGAAAATTACATCAAAGAAAACTCAGAGCTCAAATGTTCATTATTTTTAAAACCTGCAACTATAGAGTTAACATGTAGTCTTTTAAGTTCTATATCTCTCCATTTTGTTCTTCCTACTTTAAATATGTTGGCTTTTCTACTGGTGGTGAAATAAAACTCACTGCTATCTCACTGCTCTGGCGTTCCAGCCAAGATTGAAAAAAAAAAAAAATTCTTAAAGGGCTTTCAAATTAATGCCTTTACAAATTATAATAGCTCCACAGCAACTAACAACATAGACACCTTCCAAAAATACAAATTTAGTTTTGCCTGCTTAACAGTTGTATACAATGATAAAACACTTAATTCAAAAATTAATATTCTAAAAAAACTATTAAATTGCTTCCCTGCCCTCATGTGCTAATCAAACAAATCAGACCAGCAAACAAAAGACGGATTTGTTACTAATTCAAAGCACCTTGGAGATATCTTTCTTACACAATTCAGCCAGTCCTCCCCACAATGCAAACATTGAAAGTTTAAACCTAAACTCATTTAAATCTGGGCAAAAAAGGAGTAAAAGAGACTTTTAAAAATCAAACTGCCCTGAAAAATGTTTTACCTCAAATTTTGGTCCACAGCCTTACCAGCTGGAGCAAATAAAGTTTAGTCACATGAACAGGTTCCAATTTTATGAAAAACACAATTTGGATTCAACTATCTTTTACAAACTGATAAGTTTATATTACTATCCCTAACTAAAATTCTAAAATAAAAACTATAAGCTCTTTGTTTTTGTGTATATATGTGTTTAAATATATTTATAGATATGTACATGTATTATATGTTGTGTCTACATGGCAAAATCTGGCTTAGTTGACCAAAATTCCCATAAAAATTTTCATTTAGATAAATGAACACTCACATAAAATATAAAGTTATTAATCCAAATGCTTTTTAGTTCATATGACTTAAATAAATCTTTAATAAATAAGCTGGTTTTAAAATTATTGATAAAAATAAAAATGTCTTCAAAATTGTCAACATATATTTTCACCTGGATTTACTGATCAGACAGCTTTATATTTTTCTCTTATCTAGAGAAGATAAACAAAACAAAAAATTAATTACATAAAATTAAATAATTGATACAAATAATGTTCTTATGACTTTTATTTAAAGCATTGTTGGCTCTTTAATTAAATGTTTTGATTTCCAGATTTAAGAAAATTTTCTCTCACAATCTATCTGTATTTTAGAAAAACTTGGGAAAGTACACTTTTGTAAACAAAGATGAAAATATTTGCTTTTTCTCCCTAGTTGATTCACCAAAAATTTAAAAGCCATTCATAAGTATTTTTATTTTTACTTACATAATTTCAGTTAATATCTGCTCTCTCTTTATAAACAAAATACCCTTTAAAACTTTGGTTATATTACCAAGGCTTTAACTAAAATGTCATATTTTTAAATGCACATTTTAAAAATGCCTGCCTTCAAGAATTCTCAGCCTTAAAATGAGTAAATAAAAAAAAATTGTCACTTCCTGTCATGCTCAAGAACTTAGAACTATAAGTAAAATCTAAAGTTGGGCTTCATTTGGCTTCCTAGCCTCAAACGGTTTTTAAATCTAAAATTCTTATATGATCAATATTTTTAAAAAATAATATTATATATCTCGAAAAACCCTATGGTACACCTGTTACTATATTAT